GCCATTCTAACTGGCATGAGATGGTATCTCATTGTGGTTTTGATTTGCATTTTTCTGATGACCAGTGATGATGAGCATTTTTTCATGTGTCTATTGGCTGCATAAACGTCTTCTTTTGAGAAGTGTCTGTTCATATCCTTTGCCCACTTTTTGATGGGGTTTGTTTTTTTCTTGTAAATTTGTTTGAGTTCTTTGTAGATTCTGGAGATTAGCCCTTTGTCAGATGGGTAGATTGCAAACATTTTCTCCAATTCCATAGGTTGCCTGTTCACTCTGATGACAGTTTATTTTGTAATACTGGCAGATTCTTATCGCTTACTTGCTTTTAATGATACTCAGGATTGTAGGATACAGAGGACCTGATGTAGAGGAACTTGCCAAATACTGGAATGGAACACTTTCCACTCTCACCCTTACAGAAACAAACCTCCAGGGTTGTGAACAAATGTGTTGTAATTCACAAGTCTGTCCATTTTGCCTCCTACTGATATAAAATAACTCAGCATGGCTGTGATTTTTGCTCCAAAGTTTTCTTGGAGAATAAGAGAAGGTAATAGCAAAGAGGCTGCAGCCTGAAACCACTGATATGTCACACTTCTTCACACTCACCTGCTGTGGGAGAAAGAAGAGGTGGTTTGATTGATTCTCAACAAAGCCTGCCAGCCTTCAAATGGCTTTTCTTAAGTGAAGACACAGATCACTCTGAGGTTGCTCCACTTCTTTCTGCCATTTATCCCAGAGCAGTAAACACCAATCCTGTGATTAAATCATTTTTTATGGGGTTTGGAGTTATTCATTCAAATCTCATTCACTCAAATTTGTTTCTGGCTAAGGAAAGCTGTTTCTTCTTTTGTCCATTTTTAGGTATTCCATGCAACAACAGAACTTTTAAGTGTGGCAATGATATTTGCTTTAGGAAACAAAATGCAAAATGTGATGGGGCAGTGGATTGTCCAGATGGAAGTGATGAAGAAGGCTGCAGTGAGTAGAAATTCATTCCTTTGGATTCCTGTATTCCATCTTCAGTTTACCTGTTTTTTATATTTTCATTCTCTTCTTGGTTTATTTCACTTGATCAAGGTTGCCATAGCCAAAATAAGAATAGTAACTATTGACAAACTGAGTCTGAAATTGTTTCTCAGAAATAAAAACTCTGGAATGGATTCTGTCGTCTTGATAACAGCATTGATGAATTAAATTTTTATAATGAGAACTTTTACTTTCTAATAACTTTAATCAAAGCAGAAGATCTTAAATAAAAAACCCTGTGAGAAAATAAATAGAAACTGGAATGCAGTGGATGACTTGTTAATAATGCCTTATGTTATGAACAATATCAAGTGCTGTTTCTTTCTTTAGGTTTGACCCAATAACTAATCTCCCACATGCTCCTATTAGTCATGTGGCCACTAATTGGCCATGTGGCAACATGTAAATTATACATCTTTACCAATACTAGTTACACTGGCAAACAATTGCTCTGATAACTAGTTTTCCCAGTAGGTTTCCATTTGTTCAGGTCTTAAAAATCTTTTCCCAAATACTTGCTGTCACATTAGCACAACTTCAAGGAAATTCTCAATTCATTTCCATTCCTCTTTACCTGACAATCTAAGATCATAGGCAGCTGTTTATGTCAGTTCAGCTGTTACAACAGGTCCCCCTCCTCCTGTCATCTGCATTGTGGTATAGAGACTGTGTCAGGGCATGCTTCAGGAAGGAGGGGGTGGTTTGTTCGTACTGGTTTTGGACAGACTCATATGTTCTCTGTCCTCTAGATAAGGAGATTTCAAATTACTACCTAGTGAGTCAGTTCCCAGACAGCGCTAAAACTGGCTTAATTTCTAGTTTTTCTTCCAAGTCTACCTTTAAATCACATGCCCTTTCTCTACTAAAGCCTGCAGCAGAAGTTCCTCCACCCTTCACCGCATCATCGGAGGCACAGACACCCTAGAGGGAAGTTGGCCGTGGCAGGTCAGCCTTCACTTTGTTGGATCTGCTTACTGTGGTGCCTCGGTCATCTCCAGGGAGTGGCTTCTTTCTGCAGCCCACTGTTTTCATGGAAACAGGTAGGATATCACAGTCTTTACTCTCAAGTGGCACTCTGTGGCCACAGACAACATATCTGCCCTCAAATTGTGGGAAGCAGATCCCCGTTGGGGACATTCAATCAATTCAATTGAGCTTTCGTTTTTTGGATCCCACTTGTGTGACAAACATTTTTTTAAGGTATTATTGGTATAAAAAAAGAATACAAAGAAAACATCGAGAACGTATAGGCTTTTCCCAAGGCTGAGAAAATAAGATAGGGCTTTTAACTCAGAGGGAGCAAACTTAAGAGAATGTGTGGAGAATGTGGAGAAAAATGGGCACTGGAGAGTGACTGGAGAATGGAGATCCCCATTTAATATAGGAGGGGGATCCTGGAGAGCCCCATTAGGATTGGCTTTGGAAGGGCTTTGTCTTTACCAATGGGATTATTATGGGATAGATGCTCTTCCAGCTAAGGGTAAGAGGACATCTTAGAAAATAGCCTCACTTAAAATTTAAACTTCCTATTAGAATCTACTGAATCTTAGGTTAAAAAAACATTCACTTTTCATTCTGTTTTTTGTGGTTTTTTTTTTTTTGAGTATTTCAATGAAGTTATACAGTTTGGATATTTGTTTCTCCTGGAAATTATACGATTTGTATTAATTATTAAGATAGCTTCACAACTGTTTGATTATTAGTCTCTAATGCTGTGAAACTGCTCCAAATAATGTGTTAACCCTAATATTTCTTTAGGTGTCCATTGCCACTCATGAGACATCAGCTAAGCAGATTGTGACCAAAATTTTGGGGCTTCCTTACTTTTTTCACTCCCACCTTTTACCCCACTGTTATGCTGATGGAGATGGAAGCTTCATATGGAGATTACAAGTCCTTCTGTGACTCGTGCAAGGTCACGGAGGTCAAGATTGGGATTCTTGAAGGACTGATGGGAATGGCAGTTGGTGACCCTATGAATGGACATTGTTGAGCAGTAACAGTGGTGATCATTAAGACTTCCGGTAGTTTGCCAGAAGGAATTTCACTAAATTCCTGCTTATAACACTTTGATTTCTAATCTATCTTGGTATTCACATCATTTGAATTTGGTAGTAGGGTTCTCCATCAAATGCCATTGTCAGCATGAATAGGAAGAATGCGACAAATTAATTCTAGTTACCAACATTCTTGACCTGTGTGTGGTTCATGAAATACCAGTGGCAAGAAAATGTCCAGGCATTTGCTTAGGACATTGTTGAGTGAATTTTCTATAACTCGCCACTCCGAATACAGCTTACTTCATTTCTGACTTTATGAGGGAGACAAAGGAGGCTCACAGTTATGCTTTCTGCCATAGTCCCTGGACAGAGCCAGTGGCTATAATAAGGCCCTGGAAGTCAGGCCCTTCTTTTTCAGCCCTCAACTCTTTAGAGTGCTTGTTTGCAAACTGTATGTGGTTCTTTAAGTTGCTAACTTCATGTTTCATTACTGTTCTATCAGGCTGTCAGATCCCACACCATGGACCGCACATCTTGGGATGTATGTTCAGGGGAATGCCAAGTTTGTCTCCCCGGTGAGAAGAATTGTGGTCCACGAGTACTATAACAGTCAGACTTTCGATTATGATATTGCTTTGCTACAGCTCAGTATTGCTTGGCCTGAGACCCTGAAACAGCTCATTCAGCCAATATGCATTCCTCCCGCTGGCCAGAGAGTTCGCAGTGGGGAGAAGTGCTGGGTAACTGGCTGGGGGCGAAGACACGAAGCAGGTATGAATGTGTATGAATGAATGGTCATGCCCTTCCACTGCAAAGGATGATAAGGTGTCTATGTAGTGCTTTAGGGTTCACAGAGAGGGTTCGTGTATATCATCTCCTTTGAACCTCCTGACAACTTTGGAAGGTTGGATTGGAGAAGGGTATTGTTATTCCTTTTTAATGATGCTATCCACCTGCTTTAAAAGAAGCAGGGCTCACCTCATAAAGAGGGAGAGGACTGTGTATGAGCAAGGCAGGATTTTTTAACTAGATAGTCATGGGCCCTTTTCAAACTCTGAAGGGTATGCTACGTTATTCACTAGAGAAGGAGCAATTCCTCCCTTTTCATTCAAAGAAACGATTCATTTATAAAGGAGAGAAGGACACACATGCACATCCCACTATGTCAACTCACAGGCAACAGTCTGGAAGACTATGTGGTATGTCCTGCGCCTATGTAATTGGCTAAGGGATGAGAGTGAGGGCTGAACTTCAGACTGTCCTTAGTTTCCAGACCAAAAATTCAGGCCTGGAGGTTATACCAGCCTGGATTCGGTCCACCCAGAGGAGATACCTTTTTGCAATTCCTCTGACAGGAGAGGACATCTTTGCAATATGCATAAAGATCAGGCTGTATAGTAGGGAAGTCCCTACATCTACCCTGCCAAGGTTTTTCATGGTCCAGGATTCAAGGTGAGATTCTGAAGATATAGTGAGGGGAAGAATCCAATGCTTTGTGAATGTATCCCCAAACCCTAGTGCTAATATTTTCCCTTGGTCTTTCAATCACCTCACATTCTTCTGTCGTCCTTTTCAAGGGTCTAGGACACATACAGCATCTGTAATTCCTGAACCTTGCCCTGCAGCCTCATTCTGACACTCTAAAGTGTGGGCAGTTTCTCAAAGGCAGCTTCTCACTGCTTTCATTTAGTTATTGAAGTAGTAATACCACCAGCTTGGCCCCACCAAGTCTCAGGGTCCCAAGGAGGGAAGGCAGCTGACTGTGTGAACACTTGTAACTTTGATAGGTTACTGTGCTCAGTGCTTTGATTACATTATCATATATCACAGGAGGAAAGCATCTGCGCAACCAACTTATCATAGGATGTTTTCTTTATAAGCCTGAGTATGTGTGTGTGTGCTTATTTTTCTGAATCATCTTAGCCAGGTAGGTTCAAAAGGAAGTGAAAGGGCTATATACAAACTCTCAGGTTTTTATGGTTCATCAGAGACTCCATGTATCAGTTATGCTGCTCCATTTAAAGAGCTCTCTTGAATAGTAGATATTAGTAATAACTGTTGCTGACTCAACATTCTACTGAAAACAGGAGGGAAATGGTGAGGAATATGGCACAGTTGTTCAAGTAATTGAGTCAGACCTTGGGTCTGAATCTTGTGTTACTTGCTAGCTGTGTGTCACTGGGCAAGCCCTTTAATCTCCTAACCCTCCACTTCTTCATCAGCAAAATGAGGATAATAGTAGAATGTACCTCAAAGAATTGCTGCTATGAGGGTAAAAGGAGATAATGTGTGTTAACTTTTCAAATGAGGCCCTGAATACATGTAGCCATTACCACTAACACCATTTCTACTTCCAATGTGTTTTGCAGATAATAAAGGCTCCCTTGTTCTGCAGCAAGCAGAGGTAGAGCTCATTGATCAAACCCTCTGTGTTTCCACCTACGGGATCATCAGTTCTCGGATGCTCTGTGCAGGCGTAATGTCAGGCAAGAGAGATGCCTGCAAAGTAAGTCACTGACCCTTTCCCTTGCCTAACATGTTGTGCTTTCCATAAATGCTTTCTCACTTAATCTACATAACACTGGGAAATAACCAGGGCAGGTATTTCCCTTAATTCACCTGAGCTGCTCAGATATTATTTATCATCCAATTGCCTAAGATCATGGAGATATATTGAAATAATTGATTCTATAGAACTCAGTTTTCTATAATGTGCTCCATGTATTTTCCTTCAATATTTAGAGGATGAGGTCAGCATTCATCATTCTGCCATAATTTTCTTATAACCAGTTTATTTCCTATTTCCTTAGCAGCTGTCATTTAATTACTAAAATTTGCAGGATTTTATATACTCATTCCTTTGAAGCATATGCTGGAGGAAAAAGGAGAGGAATGAAGAGGTGATAAAGAGTACTCATTTGTAGTTTGCTGGGTAGGCCCCTAGCAGTGGTAAAGTTGGAGGTCACCTTTGGGGTGACATTTCTCAGAGCCTGAGATTCCAATCTATGCAGTTACCTACATGATCGCCAAAGAGTAAACAGATGATTTAGGGCAAGCTTGTCCAACCCATGGCCCACAGGCCATATGCAGCCCAGGACAGCTTTGAATGCAGCCCAACACAAATTCATAAACTTTCTGAAAACATAAGATTTTTTTTGCAATTTTTTTTAGCTCATTAGTTATCATTAGTGTTCGTATATTTTATGTGTGGCCCAAGACAATTCTTCTTCTTCCAATGTAGCTCAGGGAAACCAAAAGACTGGACACTCCTGATTTAGAGGGTGAGTAGGACAGTGGGAGCTGTTCTTTCATCTTTCTACAATCTTAGCGATGATGCCACAAAAACTCATCCTATAATAATGACTTCTGTCTTCTGAGCTCCTATTTTGTGGCAAGCACCATGCTAGGTTCTTTATATAAATTTATTATAATCATTCTTTTTCCTCATTTTATAGAAGAGGAAACTGGGCACAGAGAGGGTAAGTAAATTGCCCAAGGTCATACAGCTAGTAAGTGTAAATGTCTGAGCTGGGATTTGAACACTTGCCTCTCTAATGCTAAGGGTACTCTATTTTGGGTGCTTCCCATAGCTAGTCAGTTACACAGCCCTGTTCCACATAGCCACGGGTGTTTACTTAAACTTAGTAGAGTTGATGTGGTGACAATTAAAATAAAGACCCCCGTTTCCCTACTAGTTGGAATTTTGCTAATCAGGTATAAGATCATAATTTGGATACATGGGCAAATTTGTTGCCTCTGAGTAACCTGCAAGATTATCTACCCTCTAAAATAGGAAAATAAAACCTAGATATTATAATTTAAAGGATTAATACTGTGGAAATGATGTTTATACTTTGAATTGTTTAAGCCTTTGCTTAGAGGAATTGAGATATCAGAAAGGACTCTCAAGTTAGAGTGATTTGTTTGTGATAATTGTGGACCAGTAGTTGTTAGGGTTTTTTCACTGGACCTGGCTAACTAAACAGGGTCTCTTCTTCTCCATGGGGCTATGAGCTAATCACTGAAGTTGCATGGCCCAGAGATAGAAGTCAACCTTCCAAGATAACCATGCCTCATAAGGTTGTTGTGAGGATTAAATGTCTTTAAACAATTCTTACCACATAGCTAGCACTAAATAAATGTTAGCCCTTACTACTACTACTACTACTACTACTACTACTACTACTATTACCACCTCCACCACCACGATCACCACTAGTATTATTGAGGTTTATTATTTGTTTAGGGCTATGTGAGAGTCGTTTTCTCCAGTAAGAATCTTCTAATGTTATTCTTAGTCTAAAGAATCATGTTTTGTCTAATGAATGCAGCTGTTTGATTATAGGAAGAACAATTATAAAATGATAGAAGTTTCACATTACTTTTTGACACTTCCCAAATTACACAGTGATTAGCCAAGCAAAAACATGTCATAAGAGGACTCTTGAACACAGTTCATTAGATACAATAAAGATTGAAACTGATAATCAGGGGACCAATTTACTTTATACTTATTTTTTTGTGTGTAGGGAGATTCAGGTGGACCTTTATCTTGTCGAAGAAAAAGTGATGGAAAATGGATTTTGACTGGCATTGTTAGCTGGGGACATGGATGTGGACGACCAAACTTTCCTGGTGTTTACACAAGAGTGTCAAACTTTGTTCCCTGGATTCATAAATATGTCCCTTCTCTTTTGTAATTGCACCAGTTGTATTTTTACTGTGATTTATGTTAAAAAATAGTTTAAAATGATGCAATAATTGGCTGGATGCAGTGGCTCACGCCTGTAATCCCAGCACTTTGGGAGACCAAGGCGGGCAGATCACGACGTCAGGAGAGCGAGACCATCCTGGCTAACATGGTGAAACCCTGTCTCTACTAAAAAAAAAAAGAAAAAAAAAATTAGCCGGGCATGGTGGCAGGTTCCTGTAGTCCCAGCTACTCAGGAGGCTGAGGCAGGAGAATGGCGTGAACCCAGGAGGTGGAGCTTGCAGTGAGCCGAGACTGGCCACTGCACTCCAGCCTCGTTGACAGAGTGAGACTCCATCTCAATAAATAAATAAATAAATAAATAAATAAATAAATAAATAAAATGATGCAATAATTATTAATAAAATCAGTCCCTTACATTTTTTTTCAACTGGAAATGTCAGATTGCATACATTTAATACTGATTGAAAGACAGATTAATATGTGTTCCATAAAAAGTTTTCCGAAGGGAATAACTAAATTCGTTCTTAAGTACAAAAGGTTATTTATTCAGAGATGGAAGAAACCTAAATTAATGTTATGAATCAAGCCTCTAAAATAAAATAAAAAAATAAGGGAGATGTTCAGGGATCCTTATTTTATGTCCCTATTCATGTTCAGATATTTATAAAAATTAGAGCAAATTTCACTTATTAAAATAAGAAATTTCAGTAAAAACCATACCTGACCATCAGCATTTTCAAGAAACTAAATGCACAAAATATCTTCTTTGCAAATGCAAATAAAGTAAAACTCGGTTATTGACAGAATAAGTACCAATATTGTTGCTTTATAAACCAATTTCATCTAACCATATCATAGTGGACCATCTTCGCCATGGCACATGGTAATGTTGTATACAAAGAAACCAATCAACCAACCAACAAAACTGACAGCAACCATTACTAAATGGCAGAATAAAGCATCATGGTAATTGAATTGAAAGCATGTATATGAGAGTCAAAGAAATTATTGTAATGCTGGTCAGCAAAAAAAAGGCAAAGAAATTTTTGAATGATTGTTGTGAAAGTGGAATTTTTCAGAAATATTATCATCTGACTTTTGGTTATTTCCTAAAACCCCAGTGGATGAGACTTTCTTTTACTTTCAGACTCTTATAATACCTTACATAGTTGTAAATCTATAGCACACTCTCAATGTATCTTAGTTCTTGATTTATTTTATCTGGATTTAGAGGGTTTCATACTTGATCTCCGAATATTTTTTCATCAACAGAAGCCAGAATTGATAGTACCACCAAATGAGTGAAAACAACAGAGAAAAGAGTGATATTATTTGTTTTCCTGTTATAAAGTCAAAGCAGTAATAACAATACTATTATCAGGTAGGGTCTATTAATAGAATAATGCACAGAACCTTAGGAAATCTTAATGTAACAGCAAAAGGAGAGAGAGCAAAAGGTGTCATCCCCCAGGCCAGATAACTTTTTCAGTTCATAGAGCATACTTCTATTTGTTAAAAGACTGTTCCCTCAGATTAAAGATAAAGCATTTTAATAATACCTCTATGAATGGGCCTCAAAGGTTTCAGTAAACTGGTTATATGACAGTGCAGTTCAGAGGGCCAAGTCTACCACTAATTCAAAAGGGAGGACTTGGCTACTGAATCCACTGGACAGAAGAGTGAATTAGGCTGATATTTCTTATAATCTATATTTATTTTGCCTGGATGGCTGTGACCTATATACAAGGTGAGTTGTACTTTTTACTTTATGGTCATTTCTAGGGCATAGACTTGCTCTTCACAAAATACATGAAAACCTTTGCCTAAGTCTGTGATCTCAGTTACGGGATGGAGGAGGGCTGGCATGATCTGTGAGATCCATCAGAGGGAGTTTTTGAAAGCACATGTATGCACTACCACTATAGGCCCTCACTGGTATGAAAGTGAGTACACTATGTTCCTTAGCAGTGCTGAGGTAGGGAAAAGGTTGAAAATCAAACCTAACTTACTCGGATATTGCTTGTTAAGATGCCTTTAGAACCCGAATGAAGTGTGAATATCCACTTCATTCTTGCAAAGGTGTGAAGTAAGGCAAGCCCCAAGAATGGTTTTGTTAGCAGAGCAAAATGGCCTTCATAAACCAAGACAGCAGCATTTCACGTGCCACGTTATTGGGGAGAATTTGTAGGGACTCATGCCCTCTTTCACAGTGCCTTGAAAACAGCACAGTGAAGCACCACAAGCAACCATTTCTCAATTGTGTTCTACTTGATTAGCCTGAGTGACTGACCCGGTTGCTGATGTTCGGAGTAGTACTACTTGCCATCTGACAACACACAGGAACAAACTGTTGCGTATTCCAGAGTCACTGACCTATTTGAAGGGAATGAGATGCTTTGGTGTGTTGGTGATATCACTCTGATGATGTCACTTTGTTTTTTTGGTTTATATGATAATCATTTAGGAAATTATTTGCTTCTAAAAAGGATTTAAAAAGAAGAGCAAGTACTATTACAGAAAAGCAACATCAAAAATCTTATATTGGTCAGCAAATATGTTTTAATTTTTTAATGTTATTTAAATTGGACTCTTTAAACAACCTAAAGCAATTGAGTCAATAATAATTTTAAATTATATTGAAGAAATCTATTTTTGAAATAATAGTGCATTTAAAAAGCTACCCTCATGTAAATAAATTCTGAAGGAATTACAAAAACAAATCTAGGTAGAGTTTGGTTCCTCATTCACAAATGCTTGACTTTCATCAGAATCATTTAATCTGAACTTGGTTGTACCTCTAGGGAGAAACACCTCTTCCTAACTTATTCTGAATCCTTAGTGTGGAGTGAAACTGGCAGGATGAAGAAAGTCTTCAGGTAGGGTTGGAACTCTCATCTGCATTCTAGGTCAGCTGTCTGGAGATTAAGAAATTTGCAGATAACCAGAACAGGAACAGGTTGCAAATAAGAATTTAAGTAGTTCAGGTACTATGGAAAGTGTCAGCAAGTGTGAGTGATCAGGAATATAGGACAGGACAGGAAGAAAAATCAATATCAAAAGAAAACTTTGAATCAAGGGTTAGTGCTAGGTGCTAAGGGTCAGGGGACGGTGGGTATTAGCTACAAAGACACAGGTAACGTAATGGAGCATTTACTGAGATCCTTTCATTTTTCAGGCACAGGAATAAATGCTTTACCTTAATCTTCCTGCCTCTGCTAGGTAGGAATTATTTTATAAGAAAACAGACAGACATTAAACGACTTGCCCAAGAACACACAGATAGTGAGAGTCTAAATTTGATCCCACTTCTGTCTGCCTTCAGAATTTATATTCCTTCCACTGTAACATAGGACAAGGGTTAGGCATATGGAATTACAGAAATGCATTCAAATCTAATTACAGAATACATAAACCTTGCTTAACAGTACTCAAAAGGCATTAGAAGACGTGGTTTAGGGTGTGCATGAGACAGGAACAGTTGCTTTTTGATTCTCTGGGGGAGTGAAGGAGGCTTTAGGTATCTGTGCCTGGAGAAACCAGGCTTGGAGATATCTACTATCCATCTGATGTGAGAAAAAAAATCTCACATTTAGGCTGAACTCCTGCAATCAAATGAGGGAACTATGAGAAAAGTTTTCTGGACCCTGGGTAAGGATGGGGGTGGGGAGATTCAGAAGTTTGAGGGGTCTCAGTGCTTCCAGTCAGGTCTGCATGTTTTTGTGATTACAGATCCTATCAAGATCTCCCTGCAAATTCCCACACCCTTCAATGGCTCTAGTTCTTAATCAGTCTCCAGTCCCTTTTAGGCCTAGGGGTGTTAACAGTGTTAACAGCTTCGTGCTATTGCTAGTCCCTGGGTACCTCACCATTCCTTGTTGATTCCCTTAACCCTTGCTCCTTGGTTAAAATTCCTGTTCAAAAATCCCAGCTGAGAATGCAGCCTGATTCTTGCAGGATCTGCCTGTTGGAGCAGAAGTCAGTGCAGGTCAGCAGATGAGTCACTGCAGACTCCCCTTAGCAGGCGGATTGATCCAAAGTTCAGGGGATCTGGTAGCAGGCACCAGACAACTGGAGACAGGATATCTAGGCTGTGTCTCAGCATCAGGCACTGAATATGCCAGACTTTTGGACTCAAGTCAACATATTTGGAGTGGAGCTGATTTATATGCTTCTTGTTAATGATCTGGTCTTAATGTGTGTGTGTGTGTGTGTGTTGCGTGGAGGGTGAAAATAAGGAGCAAGACTATTCGGAACAGAAGCTTGAGAGGTGAGGCCCTTGGCCCAATCCACGCTGTGCTTAACAAACATAATTCCATGCTAACTAAACCGGAAGTTCTGAACTATAGATAGGGTGTCAAGGAGATTGTGTGTGCGCAGGAATTTTGTGTGTGGGTGTGTAAGGCCCCTCCCCTCAAAGATAAATAATAATGGTCAACATTTATGAGTGCTTGCTGTGTCAATCACTGTTCTGAGTGCCTTGCTTACAGCAACCCTTGTAATCCTGGTAAAAACTATATTAGGAGGGTACAAATATTACACCACCTTTCCAGGCGAGGACATTGGCACAGAGAGATGAAGCCCGAGGTCTCACAGTGAGGAACGCCCTGGGTGGAGAATAACCCAGGTACACTGGTTTTAGAGTCCACTGTCCCCAGCACCACACAATACTGTCTCTGTGCCTGACTCTGGACTTGACGAGGAAGTGTGTTGGTGTATATTATTCACCTTCATATACTCAGAACCTAGCACCATGCTGGCACGAGGCATGGTTATTTCTTGATTGAATGAATGCACTTTTGCTAGACCGCGAGGACTGTGGCAAACCCCAACAACCAACAGTTCGTGGGCTTAGATCGCAAACTTTCCTCCGTTGGACGGTGCGGCCCGGCCCATCCTTTCCTTACCACAGCCCGACACCCAGGCAGCCCCTAAACGCAGATGGTCCGCATCTGCAGGCGCGGGGAAAGGCACAGCAGGCAGCGCCCTGAACAAACCAGAAAAACAGCCCTCGGCTCTGGAGCCCACTGCGAGCACGGCTTTAGGTGCTCTACCCCGCTCCGGGGAGTGGCCGCCACTCACCGCTCGCCCCTCCTGTCGGCTCCGGTGGCTCCCGCCGCCCGAAGTCCGCGGCGCCCCGCCCAGTGGGTGGAGTGTGAGGCGGCGAGGT